TCCCATTGCTGCTGCCAGGCGCCTAATCTGCCATGGGCCCCTGTACCGCCTCCTCATGCTGCTGCCAGGTCCTCAGTGTCTCATGCCATGTGCCACTTTCAGGTCTCCTCACACTGCTGGTGTGTTACATTTTTTGTCATAGGGTGCTGGCAGATTACGGGCCTCCCATTGCTGCTGCCAGGCCCCTAATCTGCCATGGGCCCCTGTACCGCCTCCTCATGCTGCTGCCAGGTCCAGAGTCTCTCATGGGTCCCTGTACGGCCTCCCATTGCTGCTGTCTCCATCGCCACACTCTGCCATGTGCCACTTTCAGGTCTCCTCACACACTGCTGGTGTGTTCCATTTTTTGTCATAGGGTGCTGGCAGATTACGGGCCTCCCATTGCTTCTGCCAGGCCCTAATCTGCCATGGGCCCCTGTACCGCCTCCTCATGCTGCTGCCAGGTCCACAGTGTCTCATGCCATGTGCCACTTTCAGGTCTCCTCACACTGCTGGTGTGTTCCATTTTTTGTCATAGGGTGCTGGCAGATTACGGGCCTCCCATTGCTGCTGCCAGGCCCGTAATCTGCCATGGGCCCCAGTACCGCCTCCTCATGCTGCTGCCAGGTCCAGAGTCTCTCATGGGTCCCTGTACGGCCTCCCATTGCTGCTGTCTCCATCGCCACACTCTGCCATGTGCCACTTTCAGGTCTCCTCACACTGCTGGTGTGTTCCATTTTTTGTCATAGGGTGCTGGCAGATTACGGGCCTCCCATTGCTGCTGCCAGGCCCGTAATCTGCCATGGGCCCCCGTACCGACTCCTCATGCTGTGACGTTGCAACAAGGTGGAATTCAACCCTACATATGTTAGACCGCCTTTACGAACAGCGAAAGGCCATCACAGATTTCCTGATGTTACAAGCGGATAAAGATACTCCCTGTGTAACTTAGATGTCAGTCATTGGCAGCTCATGCGTGACACCTGCCGCTTGCTCAGGCCCTTTGAGGAGGCCACGCTATTCGTGAGTCGGCAGGACTATGGGATGAACGACGTCATTCCTCTGTTGCACGTCCTGGAACAAATGCTGTTAACAATGGCTGGTCAGGGTGCGGTAGACGTGGCGCACAAATCTCAACGCCACATGACCCCTGTGGGGGCAGGACAGGAAGAAGAGGAGGAGGTAGAGGAGGACATTGGTGCTCAGGAATTATTGAGTGAAATGGGTGGTTTTTCCACTCAGCGGACAGGAGTGGAGGAGCAGGAGCATCTGGTAGAGGAGGAGGAGGAGGAGACAGAGGATTCAGACGCACCGTGGCAGTATGCTGTGGAGATGGAGGCAGGGAGTCCCTCGCATTCCTTGGCACAAATGGCCCATAGCATGCTCGCTTGCTTGCGTAGCGACAGCCGAATAATAACCATCAGACAGAGGGATGACTTTTGGCTGTCCACCTTGTTGGACCCTCGCTACCGTTCAAAAATGGTGGCCTTTTTCACACCTGCTGAGAGGGAGGCCAAAATAACGTACTATAAAAACCACCTATGTAGTCAGTTGGTCTCTGCCTTTGTGCGCCAACGTCCATCCTCAGACACTGTGGGCCCTGTGCGCTCGCGTTCCGCTGCCATGGCAGCAGGGGAGGGGTGGGGTGGTAGGAGCAGTGGCAGCTCCACCAGCAGCGGCTGCCTCAGTCTGCAGTCGATGATGAGTAGCTTTCTTCACCAGCGCAGTGAGGAAACTACTAACCAGCCGCAGCAGCAGCAGCATCAGGTGGACCTGGAGCAGGACCTCAAACAACAGGCTTGGGCCTACTTGGACAGCACCCTGCCAACCGAGGTAGACAATCCCCTTGACTACTGGGCAACGAAACTTGACCTTTGGCCCCAACTAGCTGAATTTGCCCTTGAAAGGCTGTTATGCCCGGCCAGTAGCGTGGCATCGGAGCGCGTGTTTAGTGCGGCAGGAGGTATTGTAACTCCGCGGAGGACACGACTGTCCACCCAAAGTGTGGAGAGACTCACGTTTGTGAAAATGAATCAGGCGTGGATTAGTCTGGATTTCAAACCACCAGTTCCTGACACAACTGACTAAATCCGCCATGAATCATGCCCCAAACATGTGCCACTTTCAGGTCTCCTCACACTGCTGGTGTGTTCCATTTTTTGTCATAGGGTGCTGGCAGATTACGGGCCTCCCATAGCTGCTGCCAGGCCCGTAATCTGCCATGGGCCCCTGTACCGCCTCTTCATGCTGCTGCCAGGTCCAGAGTGTCTCATGGATCCCTGTACGGCCTCCCATTGCTGCTGTCTCCATCGCCACACTCTGCCATGTGCCACTTTCAGGTCTCCTCACACACTGCTGGTGTGTTCCATTTTTTGTCATAGGGTGCTGGCAGATTACGGGCCTCCCATTGCTGCTGCCAGGCCCGTAATCTGCCATGGGCCCCCGTACCGACTCCTCATGCTGCTGCCAGGCCCGTAATCTGTCATGGGCCCCTGTTGTCGCTTGTTGGCATATTCCGCTCGTTCAGATGCTCCTCCTGCTACTCCTCTTCACGGATTCCGTCAGCAGTCTTTCTTGGAATCCGTTTCCAAGAGACAACAGTTTGCGAGCACGCACCCGACGGTGCAGAAGCTGAACGTCCTCCTGTCCAAGTTGCTGCTGCCAGGCTCGTAATCTGTCATGCGCCCCTGTACCGCCTCCTCATGCTGCTGCCAGGTCCAGAGTGTGTCATGGACCCCCGTACCGACTCCTCATGCTGCTGCCAGGCCCGTAATCTGTCATGGGCCCCTGTACCACCTCCTCATGCTGCTGCCAGGTCCAGAGTGTGTCATGGGTCCCTGTACGGCCTCCCATTGCTGCTGCCAGGCCCGTAATCTGCCATGGGCCCCCGTACCAACTCCTCATGCTGCTGCCTGGCCCGTAATCTGTCATGGGCCCCTGTACCGCCTCCTCATGCTGCTGCCAGGTCCAGAGTCTCTCATGGGTCCCTGTACGGCCTGCTGTCTCCATCGCCACACTCTGCCATGTGCCACTTTCAGGTCTCCTCACACTGCTGGTGGGTTCCATTTTTGTCATAGGGTGCTGTATGGCCTCCCATTGCTGCTGCCTCCACCGCCACACTGTGGCTCCACACTCTGGTTTTGGCCCCGTGACTGCCCAAATGAGTGAAGTGTGCGGTGATTCTAAGATCGACGGCACTCATCTGCATGTCATACTGACTGACAGTATTATTTCTCTTCCCCAGCAGACTCCAAGGGCATTTAAATTAAAGGTACAGTGTTCTGCACTAATATAAAGGCTCTCTGAAGCCTAGAAACACCCTTTTATAAGTAAAATTCGCAGCGAATATATTCGACTCGAATCGAAATTTTTTCACGAATTCGCCGAATCAGTCGAATCGAATTTTTGAATAATTCGCTCATCTCTATATCTGACCATTGCTAGCAGGGTATAGAAATCAACCACAGAATGTTCATATACTGTAGTTTGGTGAGTTTTCTATCCAGTCTAATTGAAGAATGGATCAGTGATCTGGATAATTGTGGAAAATTATCTTTATCTGCTTGCAATTAATTGCAGTGTGCCAGTATCAAATATCTTCCTTTCATTAAAAAAGGAAAGAGGTTATGAATTTGAATAGTTGTTACAGACCATGCAGTGCAAAGTTACAGTGAGTTTGTAAAGCCCACCTGTTATACTCACTTTACCAACAATGGCATTGCAATGATCTGATGTGTGTATGGCACCTTGCTGTGTGCTGTGGTAATGGATGTGTCACAACAATGCCTCAGGGTGATGGGTCCTTACAGATTTATTAGTGTATAACAGTTACTTAATAAAATTAACATTGTTGAAGTTCAAATGCTATCTAATTTTCCAACTATTGGGTGATCTCAACTATCTAAAAATAAACATGAACACTAAAGCTAATTGTTCTAGTAAAGGATTTTTATCCACATTACAAGAGAGTTACCTTAAATGGTGGTTGAACCACCCAGGAAGATCATTTGGTCATTTCTGAATCATCATGCAACATACCAAATGTTGGAATCCGGCAACATATGGGTAACCATAATCACAATTTTCTAATAACTGAATTGGTATTTGGAAAAATACTGAACAGAGAACATACAAAATTGGAATTTTAAAAAACAAAGCACTGAACACATCAAAGATCTCAGTTTTGTTGGTTGGGACTGTTAAAGTGTACCACTGAGGAATACAAGAAAAAAAATAAAAAAGTACATCTCTGCAATGCATGCACTTTTCTCCACATTTTCTGGAAATGAGAAGACATTCTGTAATAAAAGGGAAACCAGAAATAATAAGCCATCTAAGTTTAAAAGACAAGATTTAAAAGACAAGAGGGACTTTACTGGTACAGTATAGGACAAACTCGCATTTGTAAAATTACACATTTTATGAAGTACCTAATAAAATTGAATTGTTTAAGAACAATACATGGCTAACCAGCCCAAATGTATCCGCAATGTTGACTATAACATTATGTCCTCCAAAAGGTCATCTGACATTGATACATTTGGCCTGGTTGCCAAGTATTGTTCTTAAACAATTACATGTTATGATGTACTTAATAAAATGTGTAATTTTACAAATGCGAGTTTGTCCTATACTGTACCAGTAAAGTCCCAAAATGTTCTTTTAGGGTATTTTTAGTTATGTAACACCAACAGCACAAGGCTGCACACACAGGGAGCACAGACCTTCATAAGTCAGTGTGCCAAAAACCTTGTCCTGTGTACACTGGGAGCTGTGCAACTGGTGCTATTCTGACCATGTGCATTACCACGTCTGCTATTTCATCATTGACAGCAAGTTAGAACAATGAGGAAACGTAAAATTCTGCATGAAACTCGTACACTCAAGTTTTGTCACTGGTAATAATCCTTAACATGAAGGACAGGTCATCCATGACTGACTTCTTGGCAGACTTTGGCACGGTGTTACTTCTACTTTTGGGTCAGTAGCCTGGGGACTATCTTGGCAGCAACATGGCACATGTTCAAATCACACGTGAGGATTGCCTGGACTGTTCCGTACAACACACCGACAATAGCAGAAATGTGGATTGTTCTCTGACGATTATCATGCACAAGTTGCTGAATGGTTTTGACATTTGTCAGGGCTGAGCTAGTTCAAGGTCCTCCTGATCTCTCATCATCTTCCAGTGACATTCTTCCACTCTTGAAGTGCATGTGCCACTCAAAACACCTCGAATGACTCGTGGTCAACTATCTCTGAGGTAGATTTGTCCAGTTTCTCGCACAATTTCACATTTGCTCTTTATATATATATACATATATATATATAAAATCTCAGTTGGCACAGACTTGATGGTGCCTAATAACATATGGGATAACACAAAGGGAGTCAGTGAATCAATAAAACAAAGAGACAACACTCAATATCATTTAAACTCCATGAAAATTTATTTTGACATATTTTTCATTGGCCACGGTGTTATTAAAGAGATAACCTAATTCAAAATAACCATTACATGAAAAAAATTTAGCCATCCTGGCTGTACAACAAAAACATACCAGTAAATCAGGACACGGTGACCATCCAGACTATACTGAATGACTAGTCCTCCACTAGTTAAACACCATGACATAAATGAATGAGATAGAAAGGGGAGAATGGGTGGGAGCCATGGTCCATTTTCTTTAAGCCCAGGTGCAGCTGGCTTTTAAGCACTTCAGCAGCATGGGCTGAGAGCGCC